TATATATATATATACTTAGCTTTATATACGAGTTAGGGAATCACTTTCTAATTTAGGCCTAATTTGTTTTCTTATAATAAAGTTAATATTACTAATTGTAGGCAGAAAATTTCCTCACAAAAGTGTAGGTTGTACCCCTACATACTAGTGGCCGTACGGTTTCTTAAAATGTTAATATCTTTGTGCAAATTTTGAATGTGTAAACAGCATATATGATTGGTCTTTGCAATCACACACCCCCTCCCCCAAACACACACAGGCCTCCACATCAATCCTCAACCCTGTTTGTTAGTATCTCTGTCAGTTGCCTTTTTCCAAAACCATATCTGAACAGAAACTGAACACATTAAAAATGTAGTGTGACACAGTGTGACTTAACTGTTCAGTCTACAAGACCTGCAGGTTTTATAACCTGCAAGGAATAATGCAGTTTTTCCCTCATTCTTCCTGGTTACAGCAACACAACATAAAAAAAACTTAGAGAAACATGTCATTGTCCTGCTCCAACATTATTCCGGCTGTGTTCTCACACTGAACTCTTCTAATACTTTTCACTCTTGTTTGCAGTGTAAATATTTTCAATCAAACAAATATTTACTCCTGTTCAGTTTTCTTTGTGTACAGTTTTCCATGACAAAACATTTTCTCCACACGGTGTTTAAAATATTGTGGGCCCAACATATGGAACAGATGTGTTACAGAGATCCTTCCATGGTTTCTATCCCACATTATGATGTCTGCAGAGGGCATTTTTGTTTCCATAAACACAACTAGGTACATTATTCTCTGCTGTAAAATGTTTAATTAAAAATATATCCATTATTATTTCTTTACATGCTGACCTGCTGTCTTCAGGCTGAGGTTTTCTCTGATCTCTTCATGGTCACATGGATGGGTGAAGTCAAAGATGCTGTGACCTGTTAGCTCCACCTGGAAATAATAATAATAATAAATCTTTTAAATGAACATTTTAAATCATAAAATCACATGGTAAAAACATTTCTTTCTTTACTCAAAATGGCCTCACCCCCTACTGGGTTAAAGCTGATGCTGAGGAAAAGGCTTTGGTGAATTGCAAAAAGAACACAATAATAACGATAATGATGCAATGCGTTTGCAATAACTTTACACTGAGCAGATAACAGAAATGGCATCATAGTGTTATTGGAGTGAGCTGAATCACATATTTAGAGGATAATTTTATGTCAGAATATCCTGTTCTTATTTCTCGTTTTTTATGGCATTTTGAGCTGAACTTAATCTGTAGAGATGTTTTTCACTTTTTGCTCGACAAGTCATTTTACTCAAATTTCTAAAAGTTAATCGAGGTCGGTTTTATTGATATAGTAAATAAGAACTCTGCACAGAGGCTAAGTGTTTGGATGTGATCTAAATGTTTAAATGTGCTCCCATGTTGTCACATACGCTCTATGCTTTGGAGGTAATGATGTTGCACCTCGTTTTCTGGCAACAAGGATTTGTTTTGACAGAAACAAACAGTGAATGTGGTGGTGGTGGTGTGTCATCTCCAGAAACCCAGACTGTTTTAATGAAAAATGTGAAACCAGTAGAAACCGCAAATTATAGAGAAAATGGGAAATTTGGAGAAGAGCTTTGATGCTGGAGCCAGTTAAGAGAAGAAAAACGCAGATTGTGTTTTAGGTTGAATATCTGTGTCGGACACCTTTCACACAAATACAAGCCTCTGGAACTGTGGATCTAAACCTCTGTTCTGTCTGACAGAGTCAATGGGCCTCATGCAAGAACATGTTCATATTCTTATCCTGAATTTCTCTTACTTTTGTTCGTACAAAGGGTTCGTACGAACATGTCACGTCAGATTCAACAAACTCTTCTATCTTCAGGAAAAGTGTGTAAATGAGCTGCGTAAATTCCACCTGTTCGCATCCAGCACGCGAGAGGAGATTAGCATAATTACAACCCCAAAAACAC